AGGAAAAAAAAAAAAAAACTGTATCTGAAAAATGTTCTAATAAAATATCACACAGGGGGAAGTGTGCACAGGGTTAATTAAGAGAGACCCTCCAGCCCAATTGTGGATTCTCAACACAAGCCATGTACACCCAAAGGGAGAATGCTGCTCTTTTCAAAAGGCGGTTTAAATATATTACTCAGTACCCTAGGGAACAGTGCCTACCATCTGGAACAGAAACGTTTTAGACAATCTGGTCTATTTACCTGGTCTACATTGGTAAGAAAGGGATCCAGTAACAATGGGCTCCCCCTTTTTGCAGTGAAAGCACAGCAGGTGGTTTGTACTTGATTTTCTGCTAGATTTATGCTAGAGAAAGCCATTTAAACAAGCATTCTGGAGTCAATGCCCTGCATCTTCTCAGGGCCAGGAAGATTTCAGAAATTCATTTCAGGAAGCCAGGATGGATCCACGTGAATATTTATTAGGTTCAGCTAATCTGCTGCAAAGGCGGGCATGGCTACTAATTTTTCTGCTGGCTGTAATATTAAAAAAAAAGGAGTGTTCTGAAACTGCAAACCTTCAGTCTAATGCACCAGAAATTATTCTGAACTACAATGTCAGAAAAAAGAAAGTGAAGCACCCCTCAGCATTAGGAAGATTTTAAAATGGAAAAGTCAGCCTGTGGGAACTGGTGGTGGCTGACTGCAACCTTAGGAGCAGCATCTTGGACTAGGGATTGGAATTTGATTTTTAGAGGTGGGAGGGAATGTGGTCTATGCTCAAGAAAATGGAAAACAAACCCCACAGATGACCAACTGCTTTAACACAGACACATCTGCTCTCCGGATAAATACATCAAGACTTCAGAAAACCTCTTGAGGAACAGGAAGAGCAAGTGAAAATAGTGTCAAATCAAATTTATTCAACAGAAAGGAAAACCTGCAGTAATCAACATCAGCAGGTAAGGGAATTCTAGCTATAGCGATGACCAACCCCATCACAATCTCTATCACAACATGCAAGGGCAGATTTCATCTACTGATTACTATATATCTGCCCTGCACTTTACCTGAATTGTTTTATTTTTAAATCTTTCTGAAGCCAGCTAGTTTAGACAACTTTTCTTTTTTTACTTGCCTTTGAAGCCAGCTGAGCTATGGTGAAAGCCTCTTATCATTCCTGGGGATGGGACCTAGGGGCACCATAAGTAATAAACAAGTTCTAACAACAACAAAAATCAGCCACACTAGAAGCACCCTACCCCTCTTCCTGCCCTCTTCTTACAAGTACCTTTCAGCCATAAATTCCAACTGGTTCCAGCCAGACCCAGGAGCATGCATAGACAGAACCACCTTGCCCTCTAACTGAAACTGAAACATTAAAACTCACATCAAGGAACCAAAACTCACCAGAATTGTCATCGGTGCTACACGGACCCATTTCAGAAGTGAGAGATCAGCCGACCACTTCCGGGTTAAGCTGTAACCCTGCCCCCTACGAATAAGGTATGATACCTCCCCCCAAACTATAAATATGTGTAACTTCCCTATTTCCCTGAAACCTATAAAACCCTAAAGCCACTCCCCTTTGGGGAGGCAGTTACTTAGTGGCTCTTTAGCCCATGCTGTCTCCATTTTACTTGCCAAGTAAAAACAAAGAAACCTGCTGGAGAAGCTTTCTGCCAGTCTTGACTATTCTTAGTAGAGACAGGCAAGGACCCTTTGAGTCCAACCAGAAAACTCTGACTC